CATTGACGTATATTGGTCAGCCGAGGAAACCGCGGCAAGCGATTAATTTGAGGTAGTTTGCCTTCGACATTGTATAGTGAGCAACAAAGGACGCAGTAATTACTTTTGTTTGGGAAGATAATTTTGATGTTGGACGACGATCTGAAAAGTAGTGTACACAGTTTAGCCGCTGTTAGCAGAAGAGTTCGGATAGGAGGAAAGCACGAGATGAACTATGTTTTTTCTTGGGTTAGCTCGTTAATGCATCATGATCTCAGTATGATGGTGTCGCGGAACTCAGTACTCCGAGAACAAAAAGTTTATTCCATAAGTCAGTCTGAGGGAAAATGACAGCTTAATTAGCATGTAGTATTCCCAATGAATATAGCTAGGTCGCTTCCATAACTAATGACGCTACTGCATTTAGGATATTCTTCTTTTTTCTCAGTCAGACAGACTCATTTCGGCACAACCAATTATTGACCGATCAACGTGACGGCGTAATCCAATCATCTGCTCGGTTCGCTTGCGTCGATGTAGCTGCTTACTTCGACATGTTAATTCGTCTCATTCCTCTGATTGCATAATGCAATCACAAGTGGTCAACTACCGAGCGTGGTATCCAAATGTGGCTAGACGAACCTGGTGGATTAATAGGAAAGGAACTTGGAGCTCATTCTTATCTTCTGAGTAAAACATCTGTGAGCTCGGGTGTAATAGCTAAAACAATTTCCACCTAACATCTGTGATTTGTGCGGATGTATAACTGGATATACCTTCGATTGCTACTCAAGCGACTGGTTTAAACTGTCAGACTGTGTGTTAAAGTCGTCCGGTTAAGCATACTGCCACTACCTGAGGGAATACTTATGGTTGCCCAAGGAAATACCAAGAATGGCGACCACACCACCAATGGCAGCCGTATAACAAGGTCGTGTGTTGATTTTCATACAAGGGCCTATAGGACTAAAACCACCAGTCCCAAACACGACACGTAATGGAGTGCCGATAGCAGAAGGCGAATGGGGTCGTACACATCGGACCATATTCATGGGAAATACATGAAGTAGTGAAGGGATGAGGTGGATAGGTGATAGTGTCAGCACAGTAAACCACCAAATAAACGTGCGTGAGCGCAGACGGACGGGGGGTATAAAAAGTAAAACGATTATACATTATGAGCAATTTAGCTGTGCTAATACTGCACCTAACAACTAAGAGTTATCTTTTGGATCGCTATGGAGCCTAATAATGAGATACTTTTTAATAATGGGGAAGAATGACACAATACGAAGCTAAATACCAGAATAAGGCATGTGACGTCAATGAATGTACTGCACTGTAGGGGTGGTACGCAAACATACCTAGCTCTTGTGTAGAGACAAGGTAGGATTGACAATAGGAAGATTTCAAGTGGCAAATATTAAGGGTATGAGATTACAAAGGCTCTGAGTGGTATAATTGGAAGCTCATCAAATCTAGACTCATTCAGACAGTCATTCCTTGTCCTGCAAGTCACTGCACTGCTGTTTCACCCCTTAAACTGTGAACCGGTCGGATTGCGGTCTTCCAAGCGAGTGTGTTCTATCTGGAATGCAGCACTGCCGTCAGCGGGTGCAGTGGATCTCAAGCAAAGGACGTAATTCCAACTCAAAGTGCCTCAGAAACTTGCGACTGGTGTAATTTGGTGTTGATTACACTGTACGTTCAATATCATATTGTGGAGAAAGTGGCACGGTGCAAGCAAGTTATGTACTAGTGAAGGACCGTACACGGGGTTAAAATATTTCGAACGTAGCACAGTCGGACTCACTGGCGCACTTCATTTGTGGTGCCATTAGAATGTACCCTGCGCTGCGTGCTATCAACGCAGCTGGCCGCGACGAGGTAGTATAGTTCTAAAACCAGCGTCCTCCGTTTCCATGGCTGGTTGAATTGTGCGCTACGCGCCCGTCGTCCGATGATCCATTATTCGCGGAGTCCGTCAAGCCAGCTCGTTCCACCCATCCTACTCATTAATAGGGCTCTACTATATAGCTCCAAACCGTAGTTCAACGTTTTTAATGCATTTGAGGAACGGATTACTGTATATCATACGTTCCTACAAAATAGCTGAGCTGTGCTCTCTTCATCGCAGGAGAATAATGTTGTGTATTCGGTCAGCATGCCTGACGGCTAGTCTAGCCAGTAACGCGCACACAACCCCAGCTATACTTACATAAGCGTTAATTTCTCCGCTTCCCTATTGGTTCTTCCTCCTTGTGACGCCTTAAGGTACTCACGTAGTTAGACACTTGTAAGATTACAGTAGTTTGTTTTCCGTGCTCTTGACTTTTCGTACACAACAATTAATGTTCACGTTGTTGACGATGCAGTCTCCAGGTCAGTAGACTAAACTTCGATTAGAAGCGCTAATTTCCATCTTCTGCATATGTGAACATATCATTTTTCCTTTACACGTAGAGCTTTCAACAAGTCATTGATTTTTGATGTCGTAATCTAAGGCGGGAACTTGATGGATGACGGGGTAGTTAACTGCAGTCTTTGGCTAGTAGCAGTCACCAGACTCTCACTTTGATTATATTTATTTAGCTAAACATCTTTCAGAAGTGTCCGAAATAGTTCATATTATTATGAGCCGCGATGTGATCTTCATTTTCATCCTTAGCACCCACGGCTGACGGCGTGCTTAGAAATAAGCTGGAGTCTCACATGAGCAAATTAAGCACAGGTTTTAAAAATTAGTCGAGGCCAAACGCCTTCCATCACTCTTCGAATACTCAGTGATTTTTATGGATATAACATAAAACTCTGGGGTTCGTGTGAGATTTGACGTCGCTTACCACAGTCTCGAAACCTGGACTGCATATATGGCTCGGCGCAAACTCTTCTCAGGTGAAATCCGTAAGGAAACCTGTTGCAGCAACTTGTAGTTGGTAAACGATTTAACCCAAATCTTTAGCTTACGTACTTGCAGATGAACAGCCTTCGCAAAATGTGATCATGACTCCCATGACACCCTGAACTTGATAAACAGTCGCAGCAGATTAGGTAGTTGGTCAGTTATGTATGACTTGGGCATTCTTGTACTTTCGATTTATTAAAGGGTATGAAAAACTGTATCTGAGTTTATATTTTAGATTTAGTGCATAGATTCATCCCAAGGACAGGGTTGTGTATGTGCTTCAAGAGCCAATCTCTGCAATGCAAAGGTACTGCAGGAGGAAGTCCTAAACCTAACTAAAACGACATAAGCTACATTCAGTACAGGCTGGAATAAGTTGTAACTTCATCAACTCGGGAAACGGAGAGCATCACTCCTACCTAGACTGCAAATACTACCTGCTGGCGATGCTTCCTGTGCTTTCTACGAGCATGAAGTCATTCATCACAATGCATTGATGAGTTACTTGGAGTAGTATGACCCTGGCTATAGCTAACCGTGTGCCAGGAACCTCGCTGTACACGGTCACTGTACCGAAACGGTTGCTAAGGAAGTGAGAGTTAATCCCATGTGGCTGAAATTTCTGAAGCCGTTACTCTTTTAGATAATCCTGTTCGGTCAATTTCGGAATTATGGCAATGATGACAACTTTTTCTTAAAAATGAGAGGCTGGAGAGCCTTGTCTGGTCCAACTTAAGTAAAGTGAGACATAACACCATAGATCACTTTAGGTTCCTAACTGTTCAAAGCCGATAAAGAAATGCCTCATGCTCAAGCGACTGGACAACCATGGAACACCCCACAACGATTATCCCCTTCGTACACAGGAAAGAACTTTGATCACAAAAATTAATGTTCGTATTTATAGTGATGTAATAGATTTATTAACAAAGCTTTTGACCGCTGATTGCCAATTACGCTGACGAGAGTATGTGCACATTTGTATACCAACTTTGAAAGCAAACATTTATGCATGTGTACAAATGTACACATTTTGTACAAAGGGGTTATATTGAAGCTCATAAGACTAACATACGGCTTGAACAATTGCACTGTCCCCTAGCCGCATCACTGACACAGCTATCTTTTTACCCAATAGATTTTAACTTTGTGCCAATCCCAAGGAACACCTGTTTTGTGTACTGACAGAGGACATCTCGTTTGTTCATCCTCTACTGAATCGGAATCACGGAGCGGTAGCCGGCATAGGTATGTTGCACAGGTCACACAAGAAGTCTAACTATGGCCTCCATACTGGCTGCCGATGGTTACATGTGCCCCCCTTTGGACTTTCGATCTAAACTTCATAGTTCTGAGAGAAGTTCGACCAGCCACAACAGGGAACACGGCAGCAGAAAGCAACCAAGCATAGCAATGTACCGCCTGACTCCTTACACCGGTTAAACGGAGTAATAGGCATTGTCGATGCTCGCTTGACGGCCTCGTACTGATGCGCCATAAGCTGAGTCATCCCAATTCTGTATGCCGCTACTACTCGAAAGTCATTCGCACATTCCGCAATGGTGTACCGAAAAGAAACAAAGTGCACGTTGTAGTTCACAGTCGTCGGAACCATATTTCCAATCGGAGCAACAAACTTCGAAACACTCTCCGAAATTTAGCCGTTTCTGCTATCACGTTTGTTACCATCAAAAAGCAGTTGCACACACACTTATTCACTAACTGAACTTAACAATATAAACTGGCATTTTGAACTTACCTTTTGGCGGTTACCCTCACAGTCACCAGATCTCATCGATCCTATAGATCATTGTACCCATGAAGCCGTGGAACATCTCTCACTTCCTTCACAAGCAGTGTTAACTATCATTATCCTAAGCTATTTCATATACACCATGACAATATATCGTCATCTACCGGGACATGCAAGTCATTCATTCCTTTGCCCATAATCTGTTATCAGTTAACTAGTTTTGCAAGTAACGTGATTTACGGTGGTGGCCGCAATAAATGCACCCTGCGCTTTTGCGAGTAGACAAAGTGCTTTCAATTCTAAGGTCATTAACCTTATTCACTGTCCTTGAAAATGTCGTCAATTGTTGTTACAAATCTGAGTGTTTGAAAGCAATGCACTAGTTATACCGCGCTTCAGTTATGAGACACCTGTGGCCCCCGCTCAATAATGATTGCACTAACTGTCAAGCGACATGCTTCGATAGAGCAGAATCACCACGCTCGTGGCCGAAACTTCCGTCTATTGGAGCTAGGAAGTTAGCCAAGGAGCCCGCGCATGGAGGACGTCAACAGTTGACGACTCATGAAAGCGAATGCATATTTTGCCGTGAATTATGTGGCATGGAAGAGGCTTCTGTTGACGAATGTCTGTCGCCGAAAATGAACTTGCATTGCCCCCACCATAGAAGGACTACCCGCGCACTTACCCGCAGATGCATACATACAGAGTCAAGCGACGCAGAACATGATCTGAAAGTTGACAAACCTGACATACTTCCATATAGGCGGCAGAACACCTCCATCCCGACGAACCCAAAGGATATACTGTTCTACCTAACGTTGGACGACAGCCGCATTCTTGGCCCATTCATTTTCAACTTCCTACCGGGTGAGTAGACCTCTCAAGGACAGGTACCATTAATCAAAAACTCATATTTTACATTACTATAGGGTCCTTTTTAAACCAGTAACCAAAGATCGGTTAAATAGTCAAACCTGACCATCCACTAGAGATCCGACCAGAAGGGTCAGTAATAGGAATGACAGTGGTAGGTTACGATTAGATCTGGTTATGGAAAGAACATTTCAAGCAACGTATACAATTCATGCTTTCTACCTTCACAGTTATGGTTGCATTTAGTTAACTCCACTGATGTGCCAAACATTACGCTTCCGAGAGCTGAGTGGGACAGGTAAAAACAATGCGTGGATAAAGTGTTTGGCATACCGCTCTAAGGAATCAACTTTCCACTTTGCTTGCGAAATTCCACGGATCATCTGCAGATGGCGAATGATCGCAATAGACCCCATGGAATCCCCCATTCCTTCACATCTACATTGCCGCGTACTTGAAATGAGGAAGAGCTGATGTGGGAACTATGGTTTCGTCGTCACCCATTTATAGTACGCGCGCAGGGATGAATCATCCTAGCAGCAAAGCGCAGATTTCAAATGCGAGTTGTGCAACCTCGGCATGTGCGCATTCCGCAGGTTTGATAAGTAACACTGAAACAATGCACAATAATTTATAACGGATAAAAAGCGAGTGTTGCTCAAGCCTTGTAGGATGATGGGAGTGTGCACTGCAAAACCAGTAGCAAGAATTGAGAGAAAAATGAGGAACTTCGGGTGACTCACCAAGTTATTCACATAAACACAAATACAGATTTGCTCACCGATATGTTACGGGGAGGGCTGATAAGCAAATAATTTGGTTCGCATTATTTCGCCTTCCGATTACAACGTAATAAGTCACGTAATGCGAATTATCTTGGGTCACCAAGAAGTCTTTTAAGGGACGTGAATGCAAGAGCAAAAAGGGGTTTGATACTTCCTTTAGAATGAACGGAGTGAGTATAATAAATCAGAAGGTAGAAATAATAACAAATAGGAAATTTTCGGGCTTTAAGTGACTCACCAAGATATTCAGATGAACACGGATAGAGCATTCCGTGCCTCTACGTTCCGGAGAGGACAGTGGAGCACAAAGTTTGGTTCGCGTTATTTCACGTATTGCTTGTTGCGGATTGTATCATCTACTACAAATGGGATATCACATCGTTAGATGGTTGTGCGAAAACCACTAAGTTAGGGTCAAAACGACGTGGCTTGGAAAAGGGTTGCATGTTTGTGACATCCGAAGGGATAACAGTTTTGTCTTTGATCAAGTAGACTATAGTGCGCAGCAAGTTCGAGCTGGTGGCGTTTCCTCTTGGTAATACAACTGTGTTTCACCAGATCGTGACGAGCATGATTGAGATTCGCTTGCATTAGGTACATCATGATAATATTTCCCCGCAACCGCCGATATTCACCACTTTACAGGCTAAGAGCTTGCAGTGGGTTGTTCGGGGAGGTGAAGAAAGCCCCTAACGTGTTTGGTCGCCTTATCTCATGGGGCTTCAAGCGCATGAACATCGTGCTTGTACCACGGTTACCAGATTTTGATATCATATTTTACATAGGTCCCATGTAAACGTCCAACATTTTTGGAAGCTAGAAGGCTGGAACTTCATGTACGCGCCTCTCAGAAGGCCAAAGTGATGACTGGCTCGTGTCGATGTTTTCTGGGTCTGCTTCGAGCAGTCAAGGTCATCCTTCACAAATTTTCGAGATGGGTTTTCTGTGTAAGAAGCCGCAACTGCTGTTCCACAAATCGATATTAATGGGTACGTTTATGGCGTGTGCTCAACGCTTTACACTTGGCCATGTTAAACTACAGCACATTCATGAATGGCCCTGTCAGTTTTGCTTGCACGGCCATGCAATCGTCCACTGTCTTGCCGTCATAGATCTTGACATCGTTTTCAAATAGTAGAAAGCTCGACTGCAGTACCCTAGCAAAATATTTGATGTAGCCTAGGAATTAACGTGGTCCCCTGGGGTCCGTCACACCGGACTTCAATTAAGACGGAACTGGCTCCGCAGACTCCCTCATACAGCTATTTATCCAACCCAGGAGAGGGTCACCGATTCCCTGGCTTCGAAGTTGGTGGAGCAGAACGCGGTGATCCAGGCGGTCAAACGCCTGATAACTCCAATTATACTGCTTCGACTTCTACTCTATCCCCGGCTAAGTCCGGCCGGCTTGGTTGGGTTAGTAGCGAATTTGTAGTGCTGGATCGAATTTGGCGGAATCTGTGCTACTTTGACATTGCGATGTTGTTACTCCTAAGATATCCCATGAGCGCCTCTGCGATAATACCTTCCATAAACTTGGATGGTACCGAGAGGACAGTTACTGGACGGTAGTTTGATGGCTTAGCACAACTGTTACTGTTGTGAATAGGAGTGAATAGTTCATGTTTCCACATCGTGAGAACCTACATTTCAGCAAATAATCTGAAAGAAGCGAGCTAATGATTCGTCGATGTTCGTAGCGGCTATCTTTAATGCCTTCGGTCTTATATCGTCTACTCCAGGAGAGCTGTGCACGTGTGGACAGTAATCTGTTCATCACATTCACCCAAGTGAACGTCACGTGGATTAGCCCCGAGGGCAGTGTTAGCCTTGTTAAACACGAGTGAGATGACGATACACACTGAAAATTGCGGGTGCATTGTTGCCGAAACATATTGGCGGTCTCCTGCGTGGTTAGCGTCTGACTACCTGTCGCAAGTAGGGTTGGGATTCCACTCTACACATTAAGGAGCCTGTTAACATCCCTGTATAGCATTTTTGGATTAGTACTGGAATTTCTCGTTACACCTTGTTGGTGCTGGCGTTTGGCTTCACGTACCACTTTGACGCAATTGTTTCGTTTTGTAAGTACGCTCATGTATTCGGCTGAATCCCTTTGGTCTATACATTTGTGATTCCAGATCTTAAAGAATGAGTACGTTTGATTCGGGCCAAAATGTCTGGTTCCCATGCATTTGTCACTATCCCGGTGAACTGGGTGACAAACTGCATCCAGCTGATATTGGGCGGCTGTTCTGCTAGGACAGATCAATTGGTAGATTGCAGGACCTCCGACAGGATGTCGTAATGGATGATGAGTTGGGTTTCCTCGTTTCCGCCGATGTTCTCCGCGTAACAGTTGTAACGCAAGAGCAGCGTCGCATGATTTCTATATCCAAGCGGTGTACTTATGGTTACATATCGACCAGGTGGTTCGTCACCCATTCTGAATAGCGTGGGAGAGGTGAAGTGGTTGTATAGCGGTAAATCGGTGATCACTTCGTGCAAACCCCCTTGTATTTTTCTCTGAAGGCAGCTGGGACTTTTATTGCGTGTAGGTTAAATTCCCCCACCCAAAAGACGCGACTGCCTGACCGCGGCAAGACACACTCCAGAAGTTAGATTTCCATATATATCTATGGTGGAAATTGGAGGGCGGTGAACTACATATACTAAACTCACCACGGATTCACAGGTGCTTAAGGTGCCAAAGAGAATCCGCAACTTGCTTTTCTTGGTCAATGCTACTATCTATTTGCGGTTAAAAGCGGTAACACAAGATTACACCGCCTTATCTGCTGGATCTATCGTTTCGTATGAGAATCATGCTGGACTGAGCTATCTCAGCATCAGTGGCCTTAATATCCAGCCATTTCGCTGTACCATGACGATGACGAAGGGCGTTGCAACCGAACGAGTGCGAAGCTCGGTTTCGCACTGAGAGAACTTAAGTGTTGTTATCATCCTCCTCAACATCATCATCGTCATCCATACACGTTAGCTGAGGTGGAGAAACACACTTCAACTAATGTGCCACAATACAAAAAGGATAGCTACCAGAAAGTTGCACTACAAACTGTTCAAAAGCAGGTAGCATAATGTTAGATATTATATTGTGTAATTCGTATGAGATCGGAATTGGAGGGAATCTAAAAGTGAGGGGATGGACAAAGAAACTTAAAATACAAACGCCACTGGGGCCGGCTCTTCACCATATCAGCAAGTGTGTCCACCCAAACGTGTTCATCGTCCTCAGGACCCCAGCCAGGCAGTCGGGATGCACCCAAGCAGGAGGACCAGAAGACTGTTTGTCTGAACTCTAACCATTGACGAGTCTGGTATGAGTGTCTGAAGGTGCTAAGCACCACCCAGCATAGCTTAATGGAACATTGAGGTACACAAACTATCGCACCACGATAAGATCCAGTCTCATCGTGATGGATGTGTTGTTATGCATGCAGCTGAGTGCCTCAGAGGTTTGCAGTGTATTTTTGGATGCAGATGTAAGGTGGGAGTTTATGTTGATCATTGTGGGGTCGGTTGTAAGTTACGTTTTTGCTGAACTGCTGACATGGGTCACTGGGCCATTCCGGGTTGATGCGGAGAGTTTTCAGTGTTTTCAGCGGCTGATAACCTGGACATCTTTCAGCTGTTTGAGCGTTTGACATCTTCACGGTTTGGAACTGCATGCTGACAGGACCGAACATGAGGCATTCTTGTTCAGTGTTTTCTAATTAATTTGTGGCCAGGTGACTATCGACTTTATAAGTATTTGTATGACAGGATCTATCTTACTTGCCGCCACATTTCGACCGTAATGTCACCGGGAGTTAGACTGCAGTATAATTTTCAGCACTAATGGACTGAAACAATTGTCTATAGGAAAGAATGGTAACCTTGAAGTCAAGTTGACATTCGCGTTCACAAGATAGGAAGGGAGCACTTCACTAGTGAAGCGCCGTTCATCGGGCTCATGCGTATAAGCCACTAGCTCGTTTGATGTCTAAAACTCCATGACACTGTGAACGGGGATCGATTCTAGTCTTTTCGTTGACGGTAGTCATCTGGCAGTACTAGTGTTCCTGGAGTTCGTTCTAAAAAAGGTTTGAAAAGATACGAACAGTGCACGGGATAGTTTTTGGACGAGCGGATGACAAGAGAACAGCCTCTATGTCATCTCCAAACTGCTATATTGTTTAGAGTAACCGT